TTGATTAATTTAATCAAAAAAGTACCAATATCAATTTTTCTAGAAATTGAAAGCTTCCAAGGCATCGATTCTTTCAGTTAGTATTTTTTAATTTACTTGCGTTCCTTGACTCTTTTCTAACTGCCTCTTGGCTCTGTTTTAAGAATTTAAAATTTTCTTCCAAAGTTTACATAAATTTTTGTCTCGCTGGTAATGCGGAACCTGTTTTGCCTCTTGTGTAATATTGTCATGCAGAGCGATCCATTTTTCATTGCATCATTTTTTCAATGACGATTTTTTGACTGATTGTTTTTGGATTTTAACCCTGTCGGTATAATTTCGAGTTCTAATCTTTCAACAGTGCAGTTTAAGTTTTCCCAAAGCTGTGTTATGCCATGAGATTTTTTGAGAGATTCTGATACTATGTGGTTTTCAATTTTTTCGCTGATTTTTGTTTCTCATCGACTTACTTGCCCTTTGTTTGCTGCCAGTTTTTTCGTAGACCATGTTTAGAAACAGCGCTTTAAATTTAAGCAGCGCTTCGATTTTAAAAAAATAATTTACGTCGCCTATACTTGCGTTTTGTTTCTAAGAACAGGTTAATTTGTATGCTGGTTTTTATATAGCGTTAGCCGACAACCGGGATGGTGTATCAAATCAAGCCTTAATCAGGGGTTTTGTGGTCCGTTAAAAATTTCTTTATAAAAGTTGCGTCAAGTCATTAGAAACCCTTGGTATCCATTTTTCAAGTTCATTTACGGTTGTTTTCATACACTTGTTATAGCGCGATGGCTTGCAACTCTTTTTTTGTCATTTCAATTCTTTTCAATACGTTTTGCCATGCATTACTGTGTTCCCTGAATTGCCATCATGGCCAATTATTGAAAATTATCTGTACTGTCTGTCCTACCAGCCTCTAGTTATGCCCAAATTAAGCATAAAAGAAAGTCATTTTTTTAATTAGTTATCCATGCTTTCTTTTAAAGAGACAGACAGGTCTTTTTTTAGTTTTGTTATTAGCTCTCGGCCCAGCTCCAACCATTCAACCTTGGCCCTTTTGTCCATGGTGGAGAGAGATGACATCCATTTTGCCACAGAAGGTCGCACCTTAAGGAGGCGATGACACTGGGACCCCGCCAAACGTGACCGAAGCGGGAGTGATTCGAACCGCAACCTTTGTGTTAAAGATTACGTATCTTACCCTCGCAGCCACGGCTGCTCGGTCTTTTTGAATCAAGTGAATTCCTGATAATGGCTTTTGTTGCTCCGACAACTGAAACTGGGGAGAAACTTTTTCAATCAAATCCTCCGCTCATTACGCATCCTCGCGAATCAATTTCTGTACTCATAATGCACCCATCACGAAGCATTTCATTTGTCACAAAGCGCTGTCGTAAATCATTCTTCGATCTCACTAAGCTATGCAAAACTTCGTTTTGAAGTGCCAAGTAGCACTGCACCAGAAACCAAAATTTTCTAAAAAAAAATGTATGTGTAAAAATTAATCGATTTCAAGGGGGGGGGGGGGGGGGGGGGGGGTTCAACAGTGCCAAAGTACAACAGTGACGAAAACGAACGGCGCCGAAAATTAATGATATTTGTTGAGAAGTTTGAGCTCTGTTGGTGAATTGCTGGCAATTTTGCGTGAATACTGTTTTGTTGCGGAGCGAAACCGAGAAGAAAATGTGACAATTCGCTGAGTTAATTGTTTGTTCAGAAAAATTTTTGACGCCGCTTGAGGAATATTTGTTTGTTACAAGCAGCAACAGTTTAAAATAGCTAATGGCGTCTTTTCAACTTCCGTCTTTTTAATTGTAATGAACGTAGTGAAGACTCTTATATAGGTCTTGCTGATTTTTTTGTTTTTTTTTTCAGGAAAAGTCTTAAAATATTGATGCACTTAGGTAGAATGCACTTTTTAAGTTCAATTGAAATTCATCTGCTGAAAGTGACGTAAATTGAACTCTGCAAGTACGAACGTGGAAATGACGCAAAAAACTTGAACGATTTCTAGTTTCGAAAGGGGAATTTATTTTTAAGATTTTCCAGCGGAATAAAAACTTCACCTATTGATCCAGTTTTTTCTAGTTGGGTTCATGTTATCAAAAATGCGCCAATCATAAATTATTCTAGAAATTCAAAGAGGTTAAAGGGCATCTATTTTTTTTGTTTGAAGATTGAAAGTTGAGATCTTTTCAAGAATGTCAGTGTTGTTTTTTATGTTTACTTGGGTTCATTACTCTTTTCAATCTTCGATTGGCTATGTTTAGGTTTCCAGCGGAATAAAAACTTCACCTATTGATCCAGTTTTCTCAAGTTGGGTTCATGCTATCAAAAAAGCGCCAGTCATAAATTGTTGTAGAAATTCGAAGAGCTTAAAGGGCATCTATTTTTTCTTAGAATTTCGAAAGTTGAGCTTCTTTCAAGAAAGTCAGTGGTTTTTTTTTCATGTTTACTTGCGTTCATTACTCTTTTCCAGTCTTCGATTGGCTACATTTGAATAAGTTTACTTGTCTGTGATTTGAGATGAGTAAAAACAATTTTCGGCACCGTTGAGCAACATTTTATTTTTGGGCTCTACTGTACTTTAATTACTTTCTGGATCGTTGTTATAGGTGCTCATTTTTTAAGGCGAGGAATCAGCCTTATTTGTTTCCGTGCTTCTTGTGTACTTGATGTAGCTTAACGGTTCAAAAATTGGACCGTTCAGCTACAAGAGGTGCAGCTTTGAGGCTTTTTGGAACAATTCGGAGCGGCTTAAATTTTTTTTCAGAGCAGAATGTACCAGTGATAGTGCACGTTTTTTTTATTCCGACCATTGAAAATGGGGAGGAACTTTGTAATCGGGTGTGTTTTAGTTTCAGGTACCGCGCAAAATCAGGTACCACAAACAAACTTTGGACAGGGTTGATTCAGATCTGATATTAAATCCCTTAGTCATGATTCGCACCACGTTTGAAAATTTCAAAAAAAAGTTTTCCGACGTCGAGAAAAACAGGTTTGAAATTTTTAATGTTTCTTCTTATTTAGCGAATAAAGCGAGCGAGCAATTTTATTTTAATTGATTAACTACCTAAAAGCTTACAGTAGCTTAATTTAAAGCGTAAAAACTTAATTTTACTGGAGTAATGTTAATTTTTAAAAAAATTTGGAGAAATTTTTTGAACTTCTTTTTGATTTTTTTTTCGTTTTTGCAATCATTTATCTAGTAAGATGGTTTTTTAAATTTGCTTGTTCTACATGACTGTGGAATATACCTAATCTCTAGTTTTTCTTTCAGGTCCTTTTGTCACACCACGCCGAAAAAAACTACACTATTTTGAAAGAAGAAAAGTACTCTTTTTTTAAAAACTATAGTCAGATTATTCTGTTCTAGCTGCACAGTAACCAGCTATCCTTGTTTTTCCGACCATTGATTGATAAGGGGGAGGAACTTTGTATTCGTTAGTTTTAGCTTTTTTTTGTTTTCCTCGCAAAATCAGCTTCCACGAATAATCATCGGAGAGGGTTGAGTGGTGTTTTTCATTATAAAGCCCTTAAATCGTAATTCCAACGGCATTTAACAATTTCAAATAATTTTCCCAATTTCGAGAAAAACCGGTTTGAAATTTATGGTTTTTTTTGTCTCAATTCGAGCGAATAAAGCGAGCGATCAGGCTTAAAATAGCTTAGTTTAAAGCGTAAAAACTTAGTTTGACTTCGGCAAACGTTAGTGAACTTTGAGTATGTAGCGCCTTGTTCTTCGTATTTGTAGTAATTTTTCTACAGAAATTGTTTTTCAATTTGCTTATTTTAGTACTGTTGTCAAATTAACCTAGTTCTCAGTTTTTTGTTCAGCTCTTTTTATCACGGCACGCCAAAAAACGACAATAATTTACCTAATCCCAAACAAATATACCAAATATACAACAAATATACCTAATACCCTGTTTTTTGTTCAGCTCTATTTATCACACCACGCCAAAAAAACGACAATAATTTGAAAAAACTTGGTTTTTTTTTTTAAGACTGGTTGGAACATTCTGTGCTACTTGCACATTAACCGGCTAACCTTGTTGCAATTTGTGAACGTAAGCTCTAATGTTGGCATGATGGAAACTGAAACATCCAGATTTACATTGCTTTGGGTTTTAAAAATTGCGTGTTGTTAAAGAGTAAATGAGCGCAGTGAGTTTTCAATCTTTTAGTTCGCCTGGTTTTTTGTTCGTATTTCACAAATTGAGTTTGTTCATTCTAGTTTTTTTCCTGACTTTGAAGAAAAAGAGACAGGAATATTTGTGCTCGGTTTTTTCCAGACCATTTTCGGATTTAACACTAGCCATTTTTGAACAAAATTTTTGATACCATTTGAAGAGTATGGACGTCCTAAGCTCAAAATTAAAATAATACTTTACCTGTGAAAATTTGGAACAAAAAAGCGAGATACTTCTTGCTATTAACATGAAAGCGCCTATTTAGTCCGCGCATAAATGGTTCCAAATTGAATTAAGGCAAGATATTTGGAGTAGTTAATACGTGACTAAACGCTAAGCTCATCATTTTGTACTTGCGCAGGTGCTTGGGGAAGGTATATGAAAAAATCATCCGAAAAAAAATTTGTTTCAAGATCTAAAAAGAAAACAAAAGCAGCGCTATAATTGCTCAAAGTGATAGTGTTTAAAGGAGGCTTACTTTTTAGTTAGGGATTTCCAGCTGAATATAAAATTATTTCAGTTCAATTATTCTCAAATTGCATTGAATTGATCTTAATGTTATCAAACCTTGTAGTTTCTTTGAGATATTGCTAGTATTTGTTTGATTGAAATTGGTTTGTTTGGTGAACTGTTCGGGGTAATATTTCATTCGGAAACATTTCATTCGGGATAATGTTTCATTCGGGTCAATATTTCATGAAAATCAAGATTGGTCTGGTAGCCAATTTACAGACAAATTTTGCTTTGTCGGAAATGCGAAAAAATTCCGTCCTCTTTTTCTAAACATTGAGAACTTTTTGTTTGAATCCAAATCACGACCAATAAAGCTCTAGTATGATTCCTTACTTGACCCGTACGGGTTTTTGAGGTTTCTGAAATCGGCTGAAAACCCACCCTACGCAATAATTTGTTGCGACGTGGTCGGCACAAAAACGAATAGCAATAGAAAAACAAGTTCACAAAGTTCACGGGTATTACTCTATCTAATGCTCGAATTGAACTTTCAGCTAGCTATGCGCATATCACTGTACTTAGCGAGCTCATTTAGCTTGGGTTCTGCTCTTTCCTACAAAAGGTTAACTAAAAGATCTTCTGAAACTCAAGTTCATTGTAAATCAGCGAATCCTGAAAAATTCATGGCATTGCCAGTGACGAACTACGATGAACTGAGACGGAACACGAAGTCTATGAAACATAAGATGGAGCTTTTTCTCATGAGATCTCAGCGCGATTTTTGCAACGCACTTGCGGAACATGAGCCAGAGGCAAATTGGAGAGTAGATAAGTGGGATCGGAAAAGTGGCGGCGGAGGAATAAGTTGTGTGATGCACGAAGGCAAAGTGCTGGAAAAGGCAGGCGTGAACATCTCAGTTGTTCACGGAGTGCTTCCTGAGAAGGCAGTAGAGTCCATGAATTCACGCGGGAAACAAATAGCAAAAGCACCGGCACCCTTTTTTGCTTGTGGAATAAGTTCGGTTATTCACCCTAGAAACCCGTATGTACCAACTATACACTTTAACTACAGATATTTCGAAGTTGATGATGGCAACGGAAATATATTGTCTTGGTTTGGAGGAGGGACCGATTTGACTCCTTACTATTTGAATGAAGAGGATGCAGTATTTTTTCACCAGATGCTAAAAGGTGCTTTAAAGAAGCATGGTTCCGATTTGTACCGGAGGTTCAAACAGTGGTGCGATACCTATTTTTACCTGCCGCATCGGGGTGAAACGAGAGGCGTGGGTGGAATTTTTTTTGACGACATGAATCTTTCGGATGCTGACGAAACTTTTGCTCTTATTAAAGATTGCGCTGACGCCACGATTAAATCGTATATTCCTATGGTGGACAAGCACAAAAACGCAGGGTACGGTTTAGCAGAGAGAAATTGGCAGCTGTTGCGTCGTGGCCGATATGTTGAATTTAATTTGATTTATGACCGCGGTACACAGTTTGGTTTGAGGACCCCCGACGCGAGGATAGAGAGTATTTTGATGTCTCTTCCGGGGACTGCTAAGTGGGAATACATGCACGAAGTTAAGAAGGGATCTGAAGAAGAAAAGTTGATGGATGTTCTGAAAAATCCGGTCGACTGGGTGCCACTCGATTGAAAATTTCATTTTTAAACGAAAATACAAATATGAAAGCCATAAAAATAATAAAGATTAAGATAAAGGAAGATTAAAATTGTTTTCGCAGAGCTTTTGTATATTATTTTGAGCTGTTTTCAGATACTTAAAAATTACTTAAGATGATTATAACGCTTTCTTATCGTTATCAGAGTTCTTCAGTGATACTGAAAATCGGCTGTTCAAAACAGTTCAAATTTCAAATCGGCTGCTTTTTCAGGTATTAATGCTGCTGATACTATTATTTCTAACAACATTTGGCTCATAAGTTGTCAAAAGTATGAATAGAACATCTGATGTTTTTCGTTCAATCTGACAATGAATTAATTGCGCTGAATATAATTGAACGAATTAGCTGCCATGCTACGGGAACTGGGTAGGCTTTTTCACTGGGGCCCTATTTTTGCCCTTTCCGTTATTTCCTTCATATCAACCGTGGGCTTTTTCGCAACACTTCTCTGGTGGCCGCCCCTGGAAATCTACGGCCAGATCCACCTGGGAATATACCTTACACACATTCCTCTCATCTTATTCTCCTTCCTTCGGTCTTTAGTTTTGGGCCCTGGATTCGTCCCTTTAAAATGGCGTCCCAAAAATGAAAGCGACGAGGAGTTTCTCCAGTTCTGCAGTGAGTGTGACGGGTTTAAGCCTCCGAGGAGTCACCATTGCAGGAAGTGTAAACGCTGCTGCCTCAAAATGGATCATCATTGTCCCTGGATCAACACCTGTTGCGGACATCTCAATCATGTCAATTTTGTGGCGTTTCTTTTGGCAGCTCCCGTAGGTAGGCCAACATTTGCTCGCAGTAGTTAACTTTTAATAAGCTATTTTAGGGTTTAATTTGTATTAAAAGCGGTGGTTTGAATCAGCGGGAATGCTTTGCATTTTAAGAAGCTGGTGTTTTTTTTAGGCAGGAGTATTTTTTGGCAACAGATAAAATTGAAAGTTAATTGCACGTTCAATTTAAAAAGATTTGATGTGCTCTACGACATTTAAGCGTAGTAATAATAAGTGTTAGCTTTCAATCCTCCCCTCACCCCGGACTGAAAGAAACGTTTTTCGTAAGGGTTTGCTATTTTATTTCATCAATTCATGTTGTGGAATCCTAAGATTTCTCATGTTTTTGTAGGTTGCTTGCATGCGGCCGTAGTTCTTATTTGCAGTGCCTATCGAACAATTTACCGCAGCGACTACCACAACTTAGTTGCCACTCTGTATCGACCCCCCGTGAACTACAGTGTGGCAATGTTCGCTGCAACGGTGCTAGCTGCCGGGTTTGCTATAGCTGTCATCGCGTGTGTTGGCTTCCTATTTGTCCTCCAGGTTTATTCAGTCATCAGAAACAAAACTGGAATCGAAGTTTACATATGTGAGAAGGCAGAAGATATGGAGCGCCCTGAAGATAGTTCATTTGTCTACCCTTACGACTTGGGACCCTGGAAAAACTTCAAAAGCTTTTTATTCGCTGGAAATGGGTATGACTGGCCAGTGAAACCGGGAGTCTCAAGGTTCGCGTTGACAGTAGAGCAGAAGCTGCAAAAAGAGGCGAAACGAGAACGCAGTATAGATTTCAAAGTTGTAAAGGGTTATTCCGGTGCATTTTTTCCAATATCTTTTGGATGCAGGCTGCTATTCAATATTCCGATAAGCGATGAACCGCGAATGAAACTCAGTGTCGGCGAGAAAATTGTGGTAACGAGAGGCAAATCGAAGTGGCTTTATGGTCAGAAAGAAACAAGTCTGAATGGAAAAACGGGTAGAGAGCGTGGATGGTTCCCTAGACAGTGTGTTGAGTTGGCTTCCAAGTCAGTGTTTCAAAGGTTTTCTTCCAAGAAGGACGAATAATATCCAATATATGTTTTATGATACGTGTTTCTGTTTCGCAGAAGGTTAATATTAAAAGGGAGGCGTTAAATTAAATTTAAAAGGACATTTTGCAGTGAAATAATGGATTGCTTTTTCTTAACGTTTTCAGGAACGAGCTTGGAGAGAATTAAGTTCAGAAAATTAAACTTCTGCATCTGTACTGCTTGTAATTTTAATTTTTAATTTGTAGTTTGTTAAAATTTAGCCAGTTAAACTAAGTTGAGATAGAAGTCTTTTAAGTCCTAGGCTGAAGCCATTTTCAAATCGTTTTTTGTCTTTTTAGCAAGTATGGTTTATATTTTAAACATTTCAGATGAATCTATGATAATGATTTCTGCCACATCTCGACTGAAATTGCCTGCTCTAAAATCGTCTCTGATTTTTGATCGTTATAAATACCGCTTTGTTCTATGCCAGTTGACCACGTACTCAAAAACCTCGACAAGATGCTGCTCGGCTGCAGTTCCTGGCAGTGAAGTCTCCCCCGAGAGACCTCAGATCCCGCATAAGATCAAAAGAGGACCAACTGAGCTACTTGAGGCTCTGGCCTCTACTGTTGGAACAGATCCAACAGGTAAATTTTTTTTCAGAACAAACGTACAACCCCCCTCCCCCCATTAATTCTGAAAAATAAGAAATGTGCATTTCATACAAACGCGGAAATGAAATTGGTTTTAACATTTTTTATGCGGATTGCATTTGTTATTTTCACAAATTAATGTCTTAATTCAGTTTTCTTTTGTGATGCGATTAATTTTGAACGAATCTAGGCTATTAAGAAAGAATGAAAGAAAGAAAGAAAGAAGTATTGTAACAAATTCAACAAAATTTTAGTGACAAGCAAATAATTTAGCGCTGGAGAGGATAGCCAAAAGGCATATAAAATGCCCACTGATTGGCTAACCTTAAACAAAAACACAGTGAACTTAAATGTCAAACATCATAAAAATTTGAACAAAATAAATTCTTCGGTGAAAATCTATTTATCGAACATAAACAATTCTATAAACAAATTACAGCTGCTGATACTGCCATGATATATAGTATATGTGAGACCTATATATTAACAGAAAACACACACGAAAATACATACCAAGAAGAACCGAAAAGCAAAACAAAAACAAATAAATATATATTTTTTCTATTTAGAACTAGCAGTGTCTAGAAACTCCAAAGATTTTACCGGCCAGATTTTCAATCTGACAGCCCCAACTTTAACATCAAAGCGCGATTTCATTCCTAGAAATTAATCATAAAAAATTTAATCATAAAAACTTTAATCATAATAATAACTAAGTGTGACATCACTACATGACGTCATGCATTCTTATGCTATATTAGATTACATAATTAACCTTGTTAATGAAATGAAGTTCATACATCTATATTTATTTAACTATGTAAATATTGATGGTAATTAATACCAATCATAGGAGATTTATACCGAGCTACTAATCAATTGGGTAGACTTGAAGAGAATAAAATATTAGAATCATGCTCTAACTTGCGCCGATCGACTAGCGATATTCCAGAAGTTAAGAACCGAATCCTGCGTCCTTAAAAGCAAGATAAGTCTTAACCGCTCGAGACATATAAATTATGGAAACAATCAATAACAATCGATAGCCAGTAGCGCTAATTAATATTCGAACAGCTTACAACATTATCAATAAACGACGATATAGCTGTCCACAGCCATCCGAAGGGACACTAGATCACATGGTGACTGTCGCGGAAGATTCTACTTCTGGATTCACCAAAAGTCATCGGCAATTGCAATCTTCATCACACGAGCGGACAACGACAACCGGACTTTGCTGAAACAGAACAGGGCAACACAACCCGTTTCACCCAGCAACGCTCAGATGTGGAAAGCAGAGCAACATTCAGCGAACAACTGAGACAGACAGGGAGAAAAAGAAGACAGCCTCAACTTCAACATCTCCGGGCTGAAAGTTTCTCCAATCTACAGAAGCAGATGTGGATTGTGACCTACAACATCACTACTTCTTGTTCCAGTCAGAAGGCAGGGCAGCTGAGCTACTGACAAGGCAGACAAAGAAAGCAAATCTACAGGTTTTTCAACAATCAACAAAAAACAGTTAGTTAAAACAAACTCAAAACTCAAACCTGCAGTAAATTGATATAATTGTCATTAAGTTTCCCCACCATAGAAGTGAAGTAACGGAACCTTTAGCACAACCATATAATTGCATCAATAAATCTGATCAGTGATACTGCTAGCCTTCTTTAACCGCTAATTTATATAACAAACTCCCTAGTGTTCCCCCTAAATTGAATAAGTGCTGTATCTTATCATCACCTGTATCACCCTGATATTCATTCGACTGTATTACGATGGCACACGCGCAAGTTTCGGTCGAACCCTATGGAGGAACGGAAAAAGAAGTCTTTTCAGAATTCGAGCAACTTTTTCAAGGCTACATCGGAGTAGCAGCGATACCAAACGCACAACAAGCGAACTTCTTGCAACTGCACCTACGAGACAACGCGCTGCGATTCTACCAGACACTAGGACCAGCAACTCGAGCGAACGTTCCCGCGAGTCTCATAGCCCTGAGGGATCACTTTTGCAACCCCCAACTTCAAGAAATCCACGTTTTGAATTTAGAACAACTGCGATTCAACCCGAAAACAGATACCCCCAGAGAATTTCTTGGTCAACTTAACGAAAAGAGCGCAGCGAGCGTATCCGACACCAGATTTGCCAGCTGTCGCCCCAATTGATCCTGCAATAATTGGAGCACCTGCAGCAGCAGAAGCAGCACGATTCCACCGAGAAACTGCTCAAAGGCAAGAAAGGATAGATGCTGTACATGACAACCGAAATGAACAAATTAAACGACTGTTCATTAAGGGAATGCCAGGTTGGCTGAGATCAAAGCTGATGGAACAACCACCTGCAACTACAGTTCAGGAACTGTGCAACCTGACCAAGAAGCAAATCACAATTCGTGAGATTTGCCGAAAAGACGATTACCCGGAAGACGGATTCAACGAAGTAAACGACAAAGTCTCAGAAAATTTAATAAGCGCTATCACAAAATTGTCCACAAATCAGGAAAAAATGGAGAAGCAGCTTAACGAAATGAGATCACAAATAACTGAGCAGTCGAATAAACAATCGAATCCGCTTCCCGAACAAAATCGGAACAACAACAGTCAGAGTGATCAGTATAGTGGCTATCAGCCAAACCAAAATAATGGGTATGGACAACAACGAGGCAACAGAGGCGGAAGACGTAGAAATAATTGGCAAAATAAATTTGATTTCAACAATACTCAGCCAAACTTTCACCATATGCCACCAGTTGCACAACAGCCATATTCGCAATTGTACCCCCAAAATCAGCAGTACCCAAACATGTACCAAAATCAACAGCCAATGGTTCAAATGCATCCATCAGCACAATTTCAACAGTCCCAGAAATATCCGACGCAACAATTTGTCGTAAATCAAATGCCTCAAGCTGAAACGCAAAATCCCAACGGACCTTTTGGACCAATGGTGCGATCATCAGCCAAATTTTGTGACGTTTGTGGAAAATTTAACCACACAGCAAGTCACTGCTGGTGGCGACAGAAACCACAAGGACGCGGACAAAACTTCCCGTTTCCAAACGAGCCAAAAAACTAATAAAGCCACTGAGTCAGCCCCCTAAATCATCGAAATCACCTAAATCATCACCTAACGAACTTTTCCAACCTGATGAGATACTTAGCCTTTACGCAATAATCCCTGCGGAAGGAACAGTACTGACGTACACGAAAATACGTTTCTCATCGGGATTACAACGTAGAGCCCTGGTCGATACAGGAGCCTGCGCAAATGTTATCTCAAAACAGACATTTGAAGACCTAAAAGAAGAAAAATCGCTATTTCGCCCTCTTGAAGTAAATTAACCCAAACTGAAGAGAGTTAGAATGGCAGGAGGACAACAAGTCTCCATTGAAACTGAAGTAACGTTAGAATTCCGATTGGCAGACATGACCTTTATAGAATCATTTCTCGTTCTTCATGCAGCCAATTCAATAATTCTAGGAAATCCTTTCTATAAAAAACATCATATTCATGTCTGTCCGAAGTCTAATCTACTGCATTTCAAAGATATGACCCTTCAAATCAACGAAATAAAACCTCCAAACGAGCCAAGAAGAGTCAATAGAGTGAAAAAATTCCCTTTGCTTATGACAAAACGTCAAACAATAGCCCCGTATCAGACAATTCTTGTAGAATGCCAGCTAGAGAACACATGTCAAGACATGGAAAAAACTACCGGAATCGTGATTCCAGCTCAGGAATTTGAAGAAAACTGTGAAATTGCGTTCACTTCTTCAATAAGCGAAGTGCTGAAAAACAACCTGTTGTATATCACAGCGTTTAACATCACCGATCATCACATTACTTTGCCTTTCAAAACCGAAATTGGGAAATTTTCAATTCTGACTCTGAAAGAAGCAGAAAATTTATTCCCCATCGAACCTGAAATGATTGCATTTGCAAAAATGAACCACCCGGACGATATTGAAATGGGCATTAATGAGCTAATTCAACAATCGTGTGATAGTCAGCAGCCCCAAATGAAGCATGAACCTGAGTATGAAAAATTTTGGTTTCCTACGCCTGAAACATGTCAAAACCCTGAATTACTTCCTCAAATCCAACGCGACATCTACGACCAAATTCTTCATTTTCAAGGTCTTGAAAAACTTGAACCGAAAACGAAATGTCAAGATCGATTGACATTTATCAAGAACTTTAAGTGGGAGAATTCAGTGTTGACAGAAGACCAAAGGTCAAAAGTAGAAGATTTGCTTGTTGACTTTTCGGACATCTTCGCCAAACATAGATTCGATGTTGGGTACAATTCCGACCTCAAAATCAAACTAAAACCGGAACACACACGACCTCTGTATACACAAGGACCACCTACGCCGATACATTTGCGACACGAATTGACAGTGGAACTTGCCCTTATGCACTATTATGGACTTATAACAACATTGTCACATTCAAAATACAGTAGTCCACTATTTGCACATCGAAAGCCATCTGGTAAATTGCGGATGTTGATTGACCTCAGAAGGATAAACCATTCACTCAAGAATGACTATATCAACAGCAACTTTCCGATCTCAAACATGACCGATGCTTCGAACCACTTCGCAGGAAAGAG